ATCTTTTCCTGTTCTTTTTGATTTCTTGATTTCTTTCTGTTTAGTTCTTTGGAATAAAATTCATTTTTCTTCCTCTGACATGACTTTTATGAGTAATTTAGAAAATGGACTTGTCAAAAATTATAGTGCTACCAAGAGAAAAAGTAAGATTGATCTCTTTGAAAGAAATATTTCATGTGAACTTTTGTCATAAAATAAATAATGAAATGTATACAAACCTGCACTGAGAAAGCTAAATATATCATCCTTTTCTCCCAAGCATACCAGTTTATGGAATATTATTTCATTAGAATCATATGTCTGCCTTTCTGCCTATACTGTGTTTTAACGTATCTATTCTTACTTCAAACTGCTGCTCCATTGTGAACATTTAGATTAAAAATGTAACGTAAATGAATCTCAAAAAGAGAATTCTCATTCTTTCTCTCTCAAAGTAATTTCCATTCTGTATTGTACTGTGAGCTATGGAAAGCCTATGTCACAACTATTTGTCTTATAGGTAATAACACGACAAGGCTACTCATTAATTATTGATCAACAGATGGGCCGATGACCCCATGTAGAGATAAACTATTGAGTTTCTCCTACCTGCCCATTTTTTTCGGCTGTCTTGTTAACAGTATAAATGAAGAACCAGTTCTATAACCTGGATCGCCCAGGTGGTGGTGCAGAGATGGTGCTTCAGTCATCTAGAGGCTAAATTAGTCTACCTTTGAGCGCCAGGTCGAGCAGTGATGGATGAGGCTGTCTTACTTGGTTAAAGAAATCAGTTTTGATGGCTTCTAAAGCTTGGTACTATTGGTATTATCTCAGTCCTTTCTGCCCTAGATCCTTAGGACACAGAGCCAAAATTTTAATTTCCTGCATTCTCCCTGCCGTCCTCCTGAAATTTCCTTGGTAATTGCTAAGTCGTCTTTCTTTTTTCCATAACCTGTTTTTCGAACAGGTGTTATTCCCAGTCCTGGAGAAAGCGGTATGCAGACGTATCCAGATCTTTAGTCTGGCCTTTACCTCCCTCAGAGAGAGAGCCCTCGTGTAATTTGCTTCTATTCAAATCTTGTATCGCTCTTGTCACAGAACATCTATATTTCCCAGGATTAGGTTTCTACCTGCTGCCAGGTTGCCCTAATTGTATTGGTGACATCTCGTCCCCTGTGCTCTTTCTGCTTACAAAGGTTTTGAATCTGCAGTGTTATGAGGAAGAGTCTTGATGGAGCTCGTTGATGTGAATGCCTAACTTCTGTTGTAAATGATTTTTAAATCGCCAAAAAATGGTTTCAATTAAGTTAAAAAGCTTTACTCTGGGTTGCTTCCCTTAGCTTTCCCAGCATCTCTGCTTTTCAAACGAGCTTCTGGGTGATTCTGGGTCTTTTAGATGACTTCGATTACTCGGAGCAAAATGGCTTGACAGCCATTTCATCTGTTGAGATAAAAATAAAAACTAGTAACTTGGAGTTTTCCCTAATGAAAACAGAGAAAATCTAATATCAGTTTGGGAAAAATAGAAATTAGCAGCTATTGCTTTATTTAGTCTTTGTATCTTTGCCATCCACATTCCAGAACTCCCCATTGATCAAATAAGTTTTGCATATGGCCCTACAGTTTTCCACAATGCGTAGATACTCAGGTATGTAATTTTTACTAATTCACACTAACGTTTTGTTTTTGTAAACCCCCAAGGTTCCCCCAGTAGAGATGTGGGACCTTCCCTGGGTCTGAAGAAGTCAAGTTCATTAGAGAGTCTGCAGACAGCCGTTGCCGAGGTGACTCTGAATGGGGATATTCCTTTCCACCGCCCACGGCCACGGATCATCAGAGGGAGGGGATGCAACGAGAGCTTCAGAGCTGCCATTGACAAGTCTTATGACAAACCTGCAGTAGATGACGACGACGAAGGCATGGAGACCTGTAAGTTTATGATGGCTGAAAGAATAGCAATTACAAACAGTGCTGTAGAGCAGTGGTTGTTAAAGTGTGTTCCAGGGAACCCTGGGGGGATTCCTAAGACTCTTCGGGGAGCTGTGTCAGGCCTAAACTATTTTCATGATAATAAGATATTATTTGCCCTTTTACTAGTATTCTCTTACAAGGGTACAGTGGGGTTTTGTGGAGGCCACATGGCGTGTGATATTGCTTATATTAGATTGAATGCACTAGCAGATATGAGAATCTTTTCAGCCATTAGTAAGTAAAGTGAGAAATTTGAAAAAACCGTGAAACAGTGCATTGCTCTCACTGATTGCTTTTAGAAAATATAGTTTTTGTAAAAATGTAATTTTCTGTAAGAGAAAATTGCTTTGTTGTTACAAAGTTATTAGTATTTCTAATCTTTCTATGTTAATTCAGTGTGTATTGACATAATTTGTGTTCAAGAAAGTTATTTGGAGTGCTTAATAATTTTTAGGGGTATAAAGTTATTCTGAGGTCAAAATGTTTAAAAACCACTGCTCTATAGTGTTTATAATAGGATGTCTCCAGTGAATATATGTACTAATCTATGATCTTAAAAACACATTTTTGTTTTACTTTTAGGAAATTACTCTTGCATTCCTTGAACTGAACTAGCAAGCTATGTTTGTGTGCTCGTGTGTGTGTTTTGAAATTGCAAAATATTTTAAACCAAGATTATCGAAAGTCAAAGGTTAATATGAATGAGCAATATGTTTTCTCTGGTACATTGAGGGAAAAAAGTAACATTTATAAATATGCACAAGTGTGTGCTTTCACTGGAGTTACAGTAAAACATTTATTGTATAAAAATAAACATTCCATTTAAAAATAATGGAAAACTCTACAAATGTATTTTCTTAGAAAGGGATTAGGAATCCTAATAGTGAAAATTATTGATTAGCTTCTATTGTTCGTATCTGCTGTTTTACATTTTAGTTTTGTTAACCTCAGATGTGACTCTGCCCATTTCGCTGTTGTTAGAAAAGTTGGAGGCCCCGCAGCGTGAGGTTAAAGCAGAGACCAGAGATAATTTATGTGGATTGTAAATTACTTGCAATTGAACATTTGGGTGGACCACTTCTATCACATATACTTAAAGAAGAGGGAAAGAAGAGTT